ATGCCAAATGTAGCACTGAGAAGGAGGCTTGTGCACGTACATTCCTGATCAATTTACATCAGCATAATCTACCCTAAGCTTTTTTTTTTTTTGCCAGATGTGTCCAGAGGACATTCATTAATACTGTGTCCACTCATGCAATCTATTTGTCTCATTCTTGCTTAGTCTTTTTATCTCAAAGGTCCACATTTCATTTTAGCACAATCAGTTAATTGTCTCATGATCTGTAAGGCACACCCTTTAAAATACTTAACAGACAGTTTCTATATTCTCTGGACACTGTAGACAGATTTCTAGCTTTACATCCATCACACTAAAAATGTATGTGCTTAACCACTTGGGATGCCATAGATTTTCTTGTGCTGTAGTATTTTGTGGCTGCTAAGACAAAAATGCATGCCTGCCACCATTATTTACAACTGTAACAGTGAGAAATTACAAAACCCACTCTTCATTAACCTCCAATAAGGCTGTTTTTGCAGCTAGTGATTGCTATTACATTGATGGAGTGCTAATACAGCTCAATAGCCCCGGTTGGCCTGTCTCACCCGTGACTGTATCGCAGCTCCTGCCTCCTACCACTACCCAGCACACATCCAGCAGAAGCGGCTCAAATGATTGATGAGAAAAACAGCTCATAAAGGCAAGCACAGTGCCCAAAGCAACAGCTGTCTAGCCCTATCCCTGCAGTAATTAGATAAATGAACCCCAAATGAAATCTTACAGGCAAGAGTAGAAGGAAATGATAATATCCCCATTGCTTCTGTTGCCTCATTCCAGCCTCTGTTTGTAGTTATCCGTCTTTGGTACAGATTTGACACCTCTTACCTCTCCCCTCTTCCACATTCGCTTCACTGCTGGTCCTGCAGACAGACCCCTGCAGGCACAGGAGACACAGGAGTGTCAGTTGCTGAGGCTGGGCTCTGTTTTCTTTCTTTCTGTCTCTCTTCCTTCCTTCCTTCCTTTCTTCCTTCCTTCCAATGGCTCCACTTGTTCAAATTTGCAGAGACTGCTGAATCTTTGTCCTCCTCAGAGAAGGAACGTAACAAAACGTACACGGTAGGTCACAAATTGTGTTTACTGGGAAAAAGTTTTGCAATTAGCAAATACCATCTTCAAGAAATAGTTGATGTGTTCATAGAGGTGTGCGAGATATAAAAGGAAGCAAACAAATACGGTTAATGTGTCAGAAATTGCAATAGAAGCAATTAAAAGCTCTGCATTTATTTTTATGGTAGAGAAGCACTGTGGTATCACGTCAGTGCTCCCTTGATGCTACTGAGGGATAGCCAGGAAGAAACAGTAATTTCGAATGCTAACAATTACCATATACAAAATAAAAGTGTGTATATAAAGTTCCTCATACAGATACAGAAATTATCTGTGCATTTTTTGAAAAACAGTTTATGTAATTTAAATATGTACATTATATATATATGTTAATATGAAAAAACTCAGCTCAGGAGTAACACTGTGGAGTGAATGACTACAGATTTCAAGAACAGGACAATTCTTTGCAGGTAGAACCTGGTAGTCCACTGGAGGAAATGCAGGTACTGCTGGATTGAATAGCTGTCAAATCAGTCCCTGTGAACTCACAGGAGAAAATACAGTAATTTTTCAGCGTGAGCAGAATTAAGAAGTGAATTTATGTCCTAGAAGAGGCACAATAATGATGCAGAACAAGTGACCTTCTCTTTTATTCTCTCTCCACTCTTAAGCGAGGTTAATTCTAGCTGAGTTCAGCTAGATTTACAAGATTGTAAGCTTAGATCAAAATTAGGCCCAGGTTGTTTGTTTTATCTTCAGCACATGTCTCGAGAGAGTGCTTTCATCTTTCCCTGCAGAAACAGTCAGAGGTGCATCTAAGGCTGGGCGCTGCCAAGGCCTGATCACTGGGATTCAAGTAAGAATTTCTGGCAGACAGAGTGGTCCTGTTAATCACAAGTGGTATCTCTTAAATCCTTCAATTACAAGAGATTAGTGGAGAACTGTAGCATTAGGCTAAAACAGTAATGACACATAGGAAGTGAAGCAGAAAACCTGCTTTCTTCTTAAGAAGAAGTTCAATTTACGGTTTATTTAAATATAAATTGCAAGCATAAAGTATTAGAGTTCTTAAACTTCACTGTTCAGTTAGCTTCAAATTAACCGTACTGTACTTCTGCCTTTCCCAGAGCAGCACTGTGATCTTCAACCTGCCTATTCCTTTAATTGAAGTCTTTTATAAAGTTCATTAGGTTCCTGTGCTATCCCCATACCTGACTGAACTCACATGCTCCCACACTTGCACTGCCTTCCCCATGGCAGGGATTGTGGCGGCCAGCATGGACTTCAAACCCCTCACCCCGCTACCCCCAGTCATAAATTGCATGAAAGACTATGTAATGGCTGAGCAGGAGTCTATCTTTTTCCATTGTTTCTGATGCTGTTGTTTAGTTGATTTACTGTCATCCTAGCTATTATTGGGAAATGTTTGCGTGAATCCTTGGGTGTAGGTAATGTGCATATTGGTATTTAATAATGAAGTGTCTAATTGCAACTGCATCTTCTTTGAGCCTGGGCGCACACCTCTCTTTGTACCAGCTGCATACAACTAGCTTCAGAACAAGTGATCCAGTGGTCAGGATACCCACGGATAGTCATTGTAGTATTCCTCTGCCATAGCAAACAGGAAAAATTAGATCTGAAAACAAAAATCCCCAATGCACAGGAAATAGAAAGGTTCATGCTAACAGAATATTTTTCTTCAGAAATGTCTCTATTTGCCAGAGTTGAAAAGCTGACTGGTCAGTTTATGCTGTTTGACATCTCCTGGGGCTTCTGAGATGAGTTCCTTTTTTTTTATAGCGATTCATTCAGTTTATCTGATGCTAGTAAATTTTTAGGATTTCAGTTAAGTTGGTCTTTTACTCCAGGGAAAGTCAAATGTGATGCCTGAGCTTCTGTCACTATAGCTGGTAGAAGTTAGGAGAATTTTCAGTAATACTGGAGTTGTATGTGACAACTATTACTCTGCTTTTGTGTGAAGAGGCTTAATTAGGACCTGAGTTGGTGATGCTATTGTGGTACAAGACTGATAGCTGAAGTTGAAATGAAATGCCTGTGCAGTTGGAGGCTAGGACTCTTAGACTGCCTCTGTATGAAATGTTGGTAAATTTTGTCTACTTTTCGTTGTATGAAGCCTGAAGAAACTTATCCTCAGTGCGTTCACTTATCTTTCTAATGCTGATTTAGCATTAAACGTGGAGGTTGGTGGCCCTGCATGTGGCAGGGGGGTTGGAGATTCCTCATCCTTGAGGTCCCTTCCAACCCCATTCTGTGATTCTGTGATTCTTTCACATAATGATCAAGGATCTGGAGGGCATGGATTCGTAGCAGCCAAAATGCACGTAAATTTATAAGTAAATGGATTTCTAAAGCAGAACAAGAATTTTATTTAAAGTAATTGGAGAATGACAGTTATTTTGGTTTTCAGCAGATCAGTGCAGTACTCTTAATAAGTGACATCTGTTTAAAAAAAGTAGTATATAGTAGGAAAATCCAGCTCATCAAAAATTGAAAATAGGAAATTCACACTCAAGGAGTATTCTTCTTTCCCCTCCAATAATCCTGTAAAACTGGAGTCACGTACACAGACTGTTCTTAACCATTTCACCATCTGATGACATCTTGTGACATCTTGTTTTTGTGGTTTAAAATAGGATTCAAATTATCACTGACTCATAGACATGTAAGGATGACATCACAAAAGTACTGAACAAGATAGATTATTTTCTAGTCTCATTCCATTGTCTTCAGATGACTTGTGTAAAAAATACATGCTCAGATTTGACCTCTCCACATCGATGCTTTATTTAAATGTGGAATGAGCTCAGACAAGCAGTAAATGAGATCTACATACAGAAGACATGAGGCCATCAGGAACTTCAGCTTTCTGTCTAGCTTTCAGAGCTATAGCCTCCTCCCAATGTGCTTCTGCCATCTCAACAGTGGCTTTGTACCAAGCCTGTGTTGAAGTGTCTCTTTGTGGTCACTTGCATGCTGGCTGTTTGTGGATATGATACAACTGACAGTTAAAGAACATTTATGTAAAAGTTCTGTCTGGCTTATGTGACAGTCTGTGACAGAGCAAAATAAATGCAGGTGTGAATAGAAGGCAAGGCCTGGCAGAGAGGTGATGTTTGCCTTGTAAAGTTCAGAAGCAGATTTATCTGCAGGCAGTGAGTTTATGGGGAGAACTAAAGCCAGACTGATAATCATCCATATTATTTACATCTAAATTGCTTACTAACTGGGCTAAGAATGCAGTATAATCTCATTAAATCCATGAAGAACTATTTTTGTCATAGAAATATCTTATTAGGTAGTCATTTAATGTTTTGTGAGCTAACATGTTTTAACAAATCTTTTATTGCGTATTACTTTCCACTCTCTTGACAATGATTTCAAAATCTGGCCATTTAAACAGGACTCTTTTCACAACTCTTTGATGATGACACTTAAGACTGATCAGTTCATCTTTTTTGAATTTGGGTAGAATTTGAAAGGTGTAAATTACAAATCTGGCTTTTATGTGCTTGTTTTATTGATCAAACTCCTTCAGAGCAATTCCAGTAGCTTAACAGTCTAGATTACTTTTCAGCCTTCTTAATTGGCCCATTAGGGTACAGTTACTTTTCAATTTATATTGAGAGTAAGACAAGGTGATGTAATACCTCTTCATTGTTCTTGAGTAATATGGACACTAAAGCACCATGAGATTCCTCATAAATTCTGTATGCACAGGCTGCTTGTTGATTTAGATAGAGACAAGTTCTGGCTTTATGCAGTAGGCATTTTATACCAAATTCTGCGTGTAATCACTCTTGTTTCTTACACTGACTTCCATGGGGATACAGTAAAGTTAGTAAGATTTGGTTGAGTGTTATGGTAAGTTCATTAAACACGTCAAGAGTCTAGCTCATCAAATGAGGTCATCTTTTTGTGTTTGCTAACAGGTCAAAGTCATGGTGCGCATTTCTTCCACGCTTGCCAGAGACACATCTGAGTCCAGCTCTTTCCTAAAAGTTGACCCCCGTAAGAAGCAAATCACGCTCTATGACCCAGTAACCTGTGGAGGTCAGAATGCTTTCCAGAAAAGGGGCAACCAGGTTCCACCCAAGATGTTTGCTTTTGATGCAGTTTTTCCCCAAGATGCATCACAGGTAGGCAAAACATGATCAAAAAAGTTATCTAAACAATAATGTGCACCAGAGCCAAACTGATTGCAGCTGTGATAGCCATACTTTCATTGGAGTTAGCTAGAGTTGATTTTTGTCAATGTCATTAATAATGAAATAAATTTATTAGATTATATCTAAATAATTGTTCGCTTTCTTTATTTCTTGCTATAAACAATTGCTCCTAAAAGCATATGTGCAATGAAAGTGCTAATTGTTGCCTAGAATGCAAATCCTGAATATTAGTAACTTGCATATTTTAAATTGATTATTTGGTGTATCCAGCAATCTGATCAGAACTGTGGTTTTTTGATGCAATGCTCTATTCATTATGAAGTCAAGGATTACCTGAACAGTTCACAGTAGAAGGATTGGAATTTTAGTCCACAAATCTCTAATCATGTATATATTGATTTCTTGTTTTTTATTAGACCTTGATTTGATGAACCATGTTACCCAAATGCCACGAGGAAGACAGTAAAAGAATAAAGTAACATTTCAGAGTATAATTAGAAAACAATATTGCAGTGCTGCTTCTGTACCCATGAACTAAACAGAACTAGGACATAGGGCCAGCAGAAGAACCAGAGATGATCAGATCAGTAGTTCCATCCCAACCAAATGCTTCCCAGAGAACCCTAAACCACTATTTCTGATTTTGTTCAACCCTGTAATGATAGCTAGTTACTGCAGAAGACTTTAGAGAGTGCCTGAACCTTAAATCTAAGAATGCACAGTGTAAATTTATGTTTTACTTCTTAAAATACTGCTATGGTCTTTGGGATGGAATCTACTCCTGCTAAAGGCAACAAAGACTCATAAAAATGTAGAAAAAAACTAAGAAATGTCACCTAGCTAGTACCAGAGGCTGTTTTTTTCCCCTTATATTCCCTACCTACCTGCTAGTGAAAATGAAATCCATAACTGGGAAAGTAACAGAGCCTATTAATATTTCTCAGTATTTCCCTTTGAATTAAAAAAAAGAAAGCCTCTTAATAGGCAGTTCTAACAAACCAATTGCATCCCTCTGTCTCATTACAGGATGTGTTTTTTGTTTAACTCCAGAAAGGATATTGATGAAATGAAACTTCCTTGACAGAACAAAAGTCCTGTTTCATGTACTTACATAAGTAATGTCACTACATCAGAGCGTTGATCACATAAATGAAATGATCAGGATTAGACCTTTTGATACTTCAGCATGGTATCTGGGGCACGGATAAAATTATGACCATTTATATTGAAAACACTCTTGAATTTTCTTATTATTGTTGATAGTTTTCTTTCTCTCTCTCTCTCTCTTTTTTTTTTTTTTTTTTTCCCCTTTGTACCTATGACAGGCTGAAGTATGTGCTGGGACTGTGGCTGAGGTGATCCAGTCAGTGGTCAATGGTGCAGATGGCTGCGTGTTCTGCTTTGGCCATGCCAAACTTGGTTGGTATTGTTAAATGTCTATCTGAGCAGCAAAGTGAATATTTGTAACCCAAGATTGTTAATACTTTAGATTAGGGAAAGCAAACCTTCATTTATCTTTGCATTACTGATAAATTGTATGCATGACCTTACACCACACCTTTGCTTCTCATTTACACGTCTATCAATTTGGCATAAACGTTGGACAACATGCTCTTTGAAGCAGAGATTGTCTTGAGTTGTTGCTTCATTCAGTCCTCTTAGTACTATAGCAATTCTTAGTATTCTAGTATCTTCTTAATTTATGATCCAGCAGGGACCTATAATTTTACAGGTGTGCCTAGATTCAAGACCACTTATACAGCTATCCCCAGGATGCCTCTGGACCAAGCAAAAGTAGCAGTAGAATGAGCACTTGGATGTTTAATGTTTTTGACTTCCCAAAGTCTAGGTGGCAGGTGAGATGGAAAATAAGGCCACCAGATAGTGGTGTCTCACAAGTGCTATGTGTCCAGAGAGGTGACCCAGCTAGGACTTTGCTGGAGCTTGAGTTTAGTCTCTGCAGTTGTTTTGTTGTCCTCACCAGTCCACCAACCTTGAACACACCCAGCTGTTGCCACAAATGCATATATAAAATATCCTTTTCGCTGGTCTTTTTCCACTTAGATTCAATGCATGAAATAAAACAAATCAAAGAAACCACAAATACTTGCCCAAAATTATGTATATCTTTATTATTTGTCTTACAAATTTAGGACAGTTTTTGAACTTGTCTGTGTATACTGATATGTAGACAGCACAAGATAGAACTGTTTTTGTTCTCAGTGAACAAACACGTACAGCTGAGAAGCCAGAGCTAAGCTATACTTACAGAGTCAAATAATAATGAAACAGTGGAAACTTTACACTCTGATACAGTATTTCTTGTTGTGCACCCACTTGTGCTCCAAATGATCACATGTGCCTGTAATTTTTGTGGTTTTTCTTCTTCTATATAAAGTTACATCTTTGTGTTGCTGGGACCAAGGTTTTATCCATCCCAGATGCAGTGTATAAAGGATAATGTAGAGCTCTGCAGCAAATTGGAGCAGGTTGCCTAGTGATGTAGTTGATGCCCCATTCCTGGAGACTTAAGGTGAGGCTGGATCAGGTCCTGGGCAACCTGATCTAGCTGTGGATGTCTCTGTTCATTGCAGAGAAGTTTGACTAGATGATTTTCAAAGGTCCCTTCCAACTCTAAGGATTCTATGATTTTAAAATGGCATTCAGGATACAGCGCACTCACAGTGTTGAAAACAGGGCATTTTAGAGACCATGGCATTCCTGCTCTGCTCGGTTTACATCGCTGTTGAGCCACGGTAGTAGCTGCTGTGCTGAGTGGTAGGGACCTGCCGTACCCTGCGTAGGACATAGGGCATGTCATAGAAATATGTGAGATAACAGTTTGTTGAAAGAAACTCAAGATTTCATCTGTCAGTTTGAAACGTTCTCCATTTTCCACAAATTATTTGTCTGTCTATCTTCCTTTTCTGAATGTCCTTTTTGTAATGAAGAAGTTGTTTTCATGAGGCTGTGTATGATAAGATCACTTTGCAGAAGGCTATGAAAGACTTTCTCTGACTTCCCATTCCTGACAGGGAAGTCGTACACCATGATTGGCAAGGATGATTCCATGCAAAACCTCGGCATAATCCCTTGTGCCATCTCCTGGCTCTTCAAGTTGATTAATGAACGCAAAGAGAAGACAGGAGCGCGCTTCTCAGTCCGAATTTCTGCAGTGGAAGTGTGGGGGAAAGAAGAAAATCTTAGAGACCTGTTATCTGAAGTGGCTACAGGAAGCCTGCAGGATGGCCAGTCCCCAGGTGTCTACCTTTGTGAGGATCCCATCTGTGGCATGCAGGTGAATCCAGTCTTCAATTTACATGAAAACAAGCATTATGATTTTTATTTTCATCTATTGAGATGGTTCAAATTCAAGAATTACCCAGAATGTAAAGTTTATAGAGTTGAAAGTGTTTACTTTAAAGCATGCAAGAACTTTATGACCTGCAGCTGCATGGCCATCTGCTCTCCTGGCCTAAATATTTGTACCTCTGGTATAACTGATGTTGAGCAGGGCCTTGTGTTTGCAATAAAATGTGGAAGCATTAGTGCAAGCAAAAATTCACCTCATTCTTAAAAAAAAAAAAAAAAAGAAAAAGAAAAAGAAAAAAAAAAGAAAAAGTAAGTGTGATCTTTCTTTTGTAAAACAACAAGATAAAATATTTACAGAACTGCACAAATAGCTGGAGGCCATTAATATGGCTGTTTATCTCTTTATAAACATTATTTATAGCACTTGCATTAGCAGTGTTGTAGGAAGCATTAATCGCTACTTATTAATTGCTGCCAAGACATAAATTCCTGAGTTGGGCAAGCCAAGAATAACTGCAACTCTTCTCAGGTTTGGAGGTTTATCAGGAATGAGTAACTGGCTCGTGTATTTCCCGGGTAACCATAAGACAGGCTCAGCAGCCCTTTATGTTTAATTTTGATTTGGAAGACAAAAAAGTCCTGTGCTTTCAACTTGTTGTCTGTGATGGAGTGAATCTGATTTTTGTATGACCAGATGGACAGAAGGCAAAATAGCAGGATGGAACACGAGTGCATTATTTTAGCCTTAAATGTAATGGCTGCTTCCATCCAGAAACTGCAAAGCAATTCTCCCCAAGTATGAGAAAATCAAGGGAGGAAGGAACAGACTCTGTCTGCACCCTGTTTCTAGCAGCAGTCGTGATTCACATCCCTTAAGTTGTAGATTATGAGATTTTAAACATCAAGTAATAAAGTTTGTGTTTTATCTCTTTGTGGTGAAGCCACAGCAAAACTTCCCATTTTACTCAAGGACTGGAAAGTTTTTTGTCATTTTAAATGACAATTAGAATTCTCATCCTCACTTGACTCCTGGTTTTAGTGTGTTATGAAATGCTTACATTGTCACAAGAGATCTCACTCCCTGGTATCCCGTAATGGGTGCAGTACAGAGAGTATACAGAGGAATACTCAAGTTCTTCACATTTCCCACTGGGGTGACAGATGACTAATTTAGGTCTGAATTAGCATAGAATACTAATATGTTTCATAACTGTGTGACCCTTCCTTACAGCTAAATTCTTCACAAAGGTATTTAAGCACAATAACATTATTAATGAGAAATACTCCATTATATATAATTATATGATATTAGTAGCCTATTTTTGCATACATGTATACAGAGGAGCCATAGACTAAGTTAATTATTTTACATCACTGGAGAAAAGGTAGCTTCGTGAGAGGTCTTTGTTTCTCTGCAGCATAAAATACTGCATTAAAATAGGACCTATCTTTGTGTGTGTTTGTAAGACAAGTGATGTTCTGTAGTCATGTCCTACACCTGAATTTTCAAAATCCTGCAACAAAGGGAAGACGTTATAACCATACAGATACGCAAAATCAGCAGTGTGTATAGCAAATGAATAATCACCATATGTCATACTGTTTGTCATTGGGCCTTCCCAAGTATGCACATTCTCTTGTTGCTTACATAAGTGAGATCCATCCACAGAATGGCCTACCTTCTGCTTGCTATGTTAACTCCTTCTTGCCCTTCAGCCTGCAGCTGTGTTACTTCATCCTGTGTGAAGCTTTGGTATTATCCTGCCCCAGGTTGATTAATGACCACAAAGGGAGACAGAAGCACTGTCTTCCTTAGGGAGAACTTTTAGCACTATTAGCCAGTAGGGGGAAGAGAACTCTGAGAATGAGAATTCATCACTGTATTTATGCCAGACAAAACAAGTCTATCCTGTGGGCTGAGGGCCAATTCTGCGTACTGTTAAAACTGATGCCATCAGTTTGCACTGTTACATGTGCCTTCCATAGGCAGGCAAATCTTAGTTGATGTGAAACACACATGCATTCCTTAACATCATGGTGGGTTAATTATATCTGCTATCCTATGCTGTCTATCGCTTTGGAGAGATACGAGCAGACTGGTGGCAGTGACTGAGATCCAGCAAATGGGAATGTATGCACACTACTTGTCTTGCTCTGGTTAATGGTTTGTCCTGTCTTTTGTGCAGGAGCATGGGTGTGTGGTGTGAAGGGACATGAAAGTGGCCTCTCTTCACTTGCTGTGGGGCTGAGCACATGATTCAATCCTGTTATCTCACAGTTTTAGCTGCAGATTGCTCCCTTCTAGCAGCTTCTGATGGGTAACATGCAGGCCGCCCCTGCTAATCTTCACCAACTCTTGGGTTTGATGTGTCATCCACAATAGCTTATTTTTCTTTTAACTGTCAGGAGGACACAGTGATTGCCAGTGCAGGAATAAGGATGTAGCAAAAATAATAAACTTTAATAAATGGCCTAAAATTCAGGGAAAGTGATGGAACAGATTTATGTATCTATCCAGCCCATAGGACTGTTTCCTGCCAGTGCTGGGAGGGTCTCATTCAACAAGCCACTTCCTCCTTCCCAGTCCCATCAGAACATGGCTTTTCTACAGCATGAGTTGACTGCAGTGGGTGTCTGATAGCACTGACTCCTGTGGGAGCCTGTGGGTAATTTCTTCCCTGTGTTAACTCTTAGCTCCAGAACCAGAGCGAGCTCCGTGCCCCTACAGCAGAGAAGGCCGCCTTCTTCCTGGATGCCGCTATCGCCTCGCGGCGTGGCAGCCAGCGGGACTGCGACGAGGAGGATCACCGCAACTCCCACATGCTCTTCACCCTGCACATCTACCAGTACCGCATGGAGAAGAGCGGCAAAGGCGGAAGTAAGCTGCTCCCTCACTCCCTTCTCTTTCCTCCAAACTTGCCTACAGATGGGCTTTGAGTCGGCTTTTAAGCAGTGTTCTCTAGTGGTAAGGATTAGAAGTGGTCTGCAGCAGGGTGAGTCCAGCAGACTGATTGCTCGCCTGGTGAAGATCTAGCAAAGGCTGTGAAAGGCCACTAGGGATCGTTGCCATCAGTTGTCAGTTGTGCTATCTTTCTGGAGATATTAAAAGTTAGTTCTCAGCACTATGTTTACATGCAAAAGTGTTCTTCGGGTTAGCTTTTAGAATTATCTTTACTGACAGCTCCAGGGTTGAGATCACTGATAAAATATTGTAGCCATGGTGATTCCCTGCCACCCTCATATTGGCTATTCCAGTCCAGCACTTCAGTACGGAAGCATGTGGGAGCTGATTTAGGCAATACATGAACTGCAGCTTTTCCTGGAGATATAGCAGTATAGCAGAGAAGTAGTATTTGTTTGAAAGACACCTTTGCTTTTTGAATTGATGGGCTTAGGCAGTTCTGCAGATATGCATATTTCAGCTTCTGTCTCTGCACTGGTTATTTGTATTAAGGAGTAGACTGCATGCAATTATGTGTAACGGGTGAACATTGCTGAAGCATTAATGTCTAATGTATGAATGCAGAAAATTTATATTTACTGTACTTAAAATGTGAGAGCGAAAACCAGAAAGTTGCTCTAAATGGAAATACAGTTTGCATGTGTTTAAGTAATAACCCCAGTGGAACTGGCTGGCAGAAAACTCAATTAACTAAAGGTTTATTAATTAACCACCCTGCGGTGGAAAGGAAAACTGTGAATGCTCTAACGGACTGGTGCGCAGGAATAAAGATGGCTGATTTTAAGGGAATTATTATTAAAGTTATTTAATACTCCCTGCTTTTTACTACAGGCAAATACACCTACATACAGTCCTTTGCTACTATTTTCAAATGCGATTAATAAACGGGAAAGAATATTTTCCTGTGGCTATAATGACTCATTAAGAAAAAAAAAAAAGAAGACAACACTGTCCTTTAAAATTCCAATATAACATGTTTTGCCCACTATCTGCACTTACATTTTCATCTTCTGGTCATACCAACTCCTGTCTTCAGGTTTCCATATCTGACTGGCCTCCCAAGCCAGCCAGGGTCAGATCTGGCTGATAATTGAATGAAAGGGAATTCCAGCTGCTCATAAATGGCACCTAGTGATTAGCAGTGTCTCCTGATGTAATGAAGTACTTCTCAGAAAACAGCATGCAGACAGTGGAGATATACAGATTCCAGTAACAGGATTAAAAAGGCTAGGATAAAAAAAAAAAGAAAAAGAAACACAGCATCTAAAGGATGAGATTAAAAAGCTGGCTGATGCTTGATTTTGACAAAACAATGACAGCTAGATTAATGCATAAGTACTGTACTTACCTCCTGGTTGGATTAATTACCAGGAATGTCATGAAGCAGGCTTAGCACCATTGAAAGAATTGGAACTGTGGCAAAACTGGCCATCATTTTTCAGTTTCAGCTCTCCAAAGTCTCTATGGCCACGGATGAAAGCAAGTGCTAGGATGTTACACTTCTCTCTATAGTGCCAGGCACATTAGTGGAGAACTTGCCTAATAAATAACTTCATTTTCAGCAAGTGGACTGACTGTCCTAAACACAGGTCTTATTTTGATTTGAAAACTAAATAAGAGCAAAAGATCCTGTCGTTTCTCTTGTTCTGGGTTTCCTCAGCCTGTGCAGTAGGACTATGAGTGCAATCAGAGTAACTGAAGTTTAAAAGGCAGTGATTGCTTTCATTTATTTTTGTTTCCTCAATGCCTGGTAATCCTAGCAATGGAAGTATTTATTAAATATAATTCAGTAAAGTCATCTGCAGTCATTTTCATTAGCAACTAAACTTGTTTTTCTAAGTAAAATCATTGGAGGTTTCTCACAAAAAGTAACATCAGCCTTCTGAAGGTAGTGGTCTTAGAGGAAGACACTTAAAGGAGAGACAAAGATTCAGAAGCAGTGAAGGTGCAGCTGCATGCATGGCAGGGAAGCCTGACTTTCTTCAGTGAACTCAGGCATTTGGTGCATAAGTAGGTTAGGGTTACTTCCCCGTGAGAACCTTGGAGAGCATGGTGATGAAATGCCCGCAGGCATCTTTAATAGATGGTAATGTGGTCTAAGGACAGCATTTCTAATGTTTGGCCACTAGTATTTGTTATAATCAGATATTTATTTGTCTCTTCTTTTTCATGATACTGTGCATGACTTTACCATTATTGCAGTCTGATGTATGGAAGTTCTCTATTTCCAAATACTTGATGCAGCTGAAAAACTAACAAAGCCTAAAAGAAGTACTTTATTATGTCAGCTGTTGACAGATGCTGGCTACACCGTTGGAATATAATTCTCAAATTCCACTGCATAAACCACCCTCACAGAAAAAAATCTTTCTTCCTTTTTCTTCTCTTTCTTTTTTTCACTCTTTTTTCATTACATATCTCTATTTTTTTCTCTTCTGTTTTTCTTTTTTTTCCCTTGTTTATTTGTACTTCCCTCTCCTTGTTCATATTTCTTTTCATAAAACTCCACTTCCATTTGTTTATCTTAATTAGCTGTCACCTACAACTGAATGAGAATTATAGAATTTTGTAGAACACATTCCACAGAAAGGCTTTGTATTGTTAAAGAGAGTACAAGGTAGTGCTAATAAGCAGCGAGCTTTGTGTTTTGCAGTATTTGTAAAACAAAATCTCTCTCTGTCCTCATTTTTTGGATGTAGGTTAACATCTTTGTTGCAGCTACTTGTTTCATATACTTTTAGGAGCAAATCTGCAAAATAATATGATGTATCACATTTTTTGTCAATAAAAACATATTTCTGATTGTTAAGGGATTACCAATGCAAAGAAATGTATCTGGAAACTTCTAAGGTCTCCATCATGGAGCATATAGTTGCTCCCAGTGTTGTATTTTCTTGATTAACAGATCTCCCCCAATTCTAATTTATTTATTTATCTGGGGGCAAGGTGCATAAGTTAAGGTGCTGTGTTGAAATGGCTGTGAATTTATTTGTCTACAGATGTGAAAATATTTCTGCTTCTGTTTATATTCAGAATCTCAAACAGTGCTCTTAACATTTAAGTTTTTCCTATAGGTTGCTTCTGAACTAATTCTTGAGAATAGGGAGAACTGGTCATAGATCAGATTTGAAAAATAAAAATAAAAATAAAAAACTTGTAGGACATTTTCTTGAGAAAATAGGGAAAGAGAAACACTTCTGTAAAGTCTGCGTAGTCCCCATCCCTGAGTTCATAAAGTAACCATAGGTTTCTCACAAGAGCAAATCTCTGTTAAGCTTGCTGTTTCAAATTTAACATCCTTTCATTTTAAGTGTAGTGGTATTCATACAGAGTAAACAAGAGGGAAAACCAGGATTTGCTCCCAGTTTTATAGAAACTACTTTCAGATCAGAACAACTTTTTAACACTACACTGTGCATTAAAACAGCTTAAAGGAAAGTCGAATATCCTGCAGGTCTCATGGTTCCTCTGAATCTCCGTTACTCAAGTTGTGAAAGATAAGAGAAAAGCTTTTACAAAACCACTGCTCGCCAAGCAATTCCCAACCTCTAGTTTTCCTGTCAGTACAGTAATCACAGAGATGGAAAGAGAGCCAGCTCAGGTATAGGCAGATACAGCTATGTTAGAGAATAAAAAAAACAACAGTAGTGACTGCCTGTCCCAGAGTTAAACTTGCATGAGTCATGAAAACCTCAGCAATTTTCAAATGAGTCAGCAGTGGACAGCAATACAGTCTGAAGGTGAACTAACAGGATCCTTATGGTTTGTTACTGCTGCCATGAATTAAGAGGAGTTTCTGGGTTGTCTCCTCTTTGCGAGTCATGGCGAGTCTTTTGCTTTCCTGGGAAACTGCTGCTGGAGGCACATGCTAACCATCCACTTTCTTTGCTTATGGCAGTGTCTGGAGGTCGCAGCCGCTTGCACCTTATTGACCTGGGGAGCTGTGTGAAAGTGCTCAGCAAAAACCGGGAGGGAAGCTCTGGCCTCTGTCTCTCGTTGTCAGCTCTGGGCAATGTCATCCTTGCCCTCGTCAATGGAAGCAAACATATCCCGTACAAGTAAGTGATATTCTGTGCACTTAATGAGTGAATGTTTGCAAGCAGTTGCTTGTCTGGCCCTGAGGCAAATTTGTGGTAAGCAGAGAGACTCCTGGGGACAGTGCAGTCCTCTTGAGGCAGTTGACAAAACCTCCAAAAGGTTCAGTGAACCCTGATCTAACCTTAAGTCTGGTATCTACACTGTATTTCATGTTAGGATTGTCTTAAAGATCTCGAGGATCAGATTTCAACATATGAGAGTTTTGTTTTATAGGATTGTTCAAAAGCATTTTAATCATGGAATCACAGAATCGCTCAGGTTGGAAAAGACCTTAAAGATCATCAAGTCCAATTGTGACCTAACCATACCATCCTAACTCTTACAACCCTCTACTAAATCATTTCCCTGAGCACCAAATCCAAACAGTTTTTAAATACATCCAGGGATGGTGACTCAATCACCTCCCTGGGGAGCCTATTCCAGAGCTTAATAACCCCTTCTATAAAGAAGTGTTTCCTGATATCCTAAACTTACCCAGGCACAACTTAAGGCCATTTACCCTCGTCCTTCAAATGCTTCAAAGCATTTGAGATCCAGTTTTGTATTAGCTCTATGAAGACAAAATTTGCTCCTATGAAGGACAGAAATAATTATAGGGGACATTATTTTACTGCTCCTGATGCAGATTTTAGTATCTCAAAAATATCACAATAAACATGCATCTTTGTGATGCAAAGATACTTTACACTTTACTTGTATGTGCTTTGAATCTATTAGCCTTTCACTTGAAAAAAAAGAATTAGGCCCTATATGTCACATTAGACAAGTGTCCTTTGCCACTATTGCAGATATTGCTGATATCTTCTGGGAAATCAGAAGAAATACTCACTTGGTAGATAAATTTTGTACTCATTTCTCTTTATTGTTGTCTCGAACCATTTGTCATGTATTTGTCATGACTGAAAGCAAGTTTGGACTACATTACCCAGTCTAGACAGTCACAGAGCTTTTTTTTAAGAGAGATGTCTGATATTGTGGAAGGTACTGCTCTTCTCTAGCCTAAATCCGAGGGAGTAACAGCCAGCCTTACAGGAATGGCTTGCAGTAGCCTCTTCTAATCAAACTGTCATTTAATGTCACCATTCATGGAAGATGTGTTTCAGACCTGGAATTGGGAACAGTAGGATGACATGGAGAGTGAACCAGGAAAATCATTCACAGAATATATTTCTTCCTTAAATTTACCCTTTTTAACCATATTGAAGGCTGTAAATATGGTTATTTCTCAAATTCATTCAAAATCTTAAGATATTGACTAGTTTTACTTTGGTTTTGTCTTTATTTTGGAAAACAAAGATGAAATGAGTTTGTTTTGTAATTTTAATTTTAATGTTTATTTTCCAAAATTAATTGGCAGTTTGGTCTCAAAACATGCTCTTCAGAAATATTCCTGTTTCTGGAATTTAATCAGATTGAAATTTAGGGTCAACCAAATTTGTGCATTTAAACATTCATAAAGTGTGTTGTGGTTCATTCACCTGGTTGCAGTGTGCAAATTGAGCTTGAACTCTACAATTCACAAAATGCAGTTCAGCCTATGCTTATCAAAAGTCTTCTTCTTGGTAGTTTGTATGGATGGAAGGGCAGGTGCAGGTGGAGAAGTGAGGAAGGAGGGGTGTGTGTGCTGCATTGTAGAAGCTGATCCCTTAGACTGGTGTAGTGCATGTTAAGTAGCACCCCTTGTTTGAAGCAACAACTTGCCTATCTAGTTGAGATAATTTCCCTTCCTGTAGGAGAGTTCTCTTTCATCACTGAGGATAAAATTAAAACTTTGTTGAATATTTGTGAGTGATGCTAAAGGAAAACAAGGAAAGTGTTTCCTTATGCGAATGCACTGTGCACTGTGTGTGTGGTCTCAGCTAATTTCCACAGAATAGTTGAGAAAATGAAGCATCTTTTCTCTATCACAGCTATTAAACAGCCATTAAGAATTTTGTGGCAGCCTCTCAGTAGGCAGTGTATGGCTTCCTGGGAGCCCAGAAACAACATCTGAAAATATAGATAGTTTTTTTGTTGTTTTTTTTCCCCTGGAGAAATGTGGTTTCCTGAGCTGCGTTCTCTTAAACTCTATTCTTTGCTGTATCTGGCCTTTCTCCACAGGTATCAGTTGTAGGGAAAATCTTCTTCAGATTTATTGTCGGTATAAGCAGATGCTGCCACATTACCTTCAGTGGGCAGTGTGTTTATACCAGGGATTAATTTGCCTCTTTGTTTGTAATCTCTCTGGAAAACATATGCTGTATGTTTTGCACTTTTTTTTTTTTTTTTTTTTTTTTTTTTTTTCCAATTTGTTTCAAGGCTAGGGAGCCTGGAAAGCCACAGAGTTGGAATCTTTCTCCTTTCTCTTTTTCTCCCTTGGGAAAACATTTGGGAACATTGATACAGATTGACTCTAACTTGTCATTAAAGCTGCAAGAAAGTAACATAGAAATTCTCAAACATCAAATAATACAGGTTGAGATCTTGTCCTGCAATCAAGTTAAGTTCCACTTAGGTCCAAGGAATGGGCAAGAAGCCCTGTAACAGGCAACCACTAATAAGCGACTGCCGTAGTTTATGGGAGATTGTATCTTTCATTTATGTAATTAAGCCCTCTCTAATATATCAGTGGGCTACCTAATTGTCACTAATAATATCAAGACCAGTTTTGAACCTTCCAAAGCACATCATTCTGTTGTAGTATGAACCAGTGAGTTCTACTAGCGCAAGATACGTCTTATAAAAATAGAATTATTTATTTGACCTACTACAACACCATTTCATGTCACCAGTTTCCATTGCTCTTGAGTTAGGAGCAAGTCTGTCAGGAGGCTGGGCAAAAATGATTTCCTCCACAGGAATTTAAAACAACTTCCCAATTTTTATAAAAATATTTGCAATCCCAAGGAAGAGCAAGGAACTTGGCCCTGAGCACAAGTCTGCTAAAGGAGATTTTGCTAAGCTGTAGTAATTACTGATGCCATTTTGTATTTTTTTTTAATGTTTCTGCTTTATGTTAGTGCTGAATTTTCTGCCTCTGATTTCTAAGAAGAATGTGTTTTAAACCCTCAAATGAATACACATTTGCACAAACTCCAACTACTGGTTTATACAGCTCACTATTCAAAAATTACTCCAGTTGCTAGGCAACAGGAGTGGTGATAATTCATGGTAATGCTGTTTTGGAAATAATCATTTTTATACATTTTAATGGCTATGAGAATGAAAGAAAACTGTTTAGAAAACTGCAAAGCTGTATGAATTCCTTTTTCAGAAATTGTTGCTTGTTCTACCTAATAGACTTTCCTCTTAATGTGCATTCACAATGTGTTTGTGTTTCTGGAGGCATCCTGTATTTTGAGGATGCTCAAGCTTATCCAGAGAGGAAGCCTTCTTCGTAAGGTAAATAGGAGTGAGCTGGAAGCATGATTTTTTATTCTGTATTTCTGCTTCTCTCTCAGATGTTTGCAGATCCTCACATATCTAACATGGTGTGCCATGGTATTGGCGTGCTTTGCTTTTGCTTTTTTTTCTTTTCCTTCCCCTCATCCTGTCTGTAGAGAATGAAAGATATTAAGTGACTGATACAAGGTTACACAAGAGGCAGAACCACCAGTTTTAAAATCTAATGTGTTTCTTAAACAGTGGGCAAAGTTTGTTTATTTGTTTGTTTTAATGCCTAGCCTTTGGAAAATCATCTACTTATGTATTTATTTATTTATCCCCATTTATAACACAGAGAAAAAAAAAGTCAATCAGAACTTTGTAAAGATCCTTCAAATTCAGTGAAAAACACAGTTGACATTTTAAATATTAGGACTCTGGATGTTTTTAGAGTTAAGGGCTCGCACAGGTGGTTCTAATGGCATGGGAAATGGCTTTTTTATGCTCAAAGGAGGAGTGGTAGACTATTACTACTTTTAAGAGGAGAGGAGAAAGGGGGAAGCGCTGGATTACAGTATTTTTGAATAAAAAATGAGCTTAAAGAATATGCTCTATGTCAGGTGTTTTCTTTAAATTGTTAGTTGATTACTGGGATAAAAACAAAATTGAAGTTTGGATGAATCTGAATCCAGAAAGTCACATTACCTTATTGGTTAAATGTGTATATCTACCTATCTGACATTGTTAAATCTTTCTGAAGAATTGCATGGAAAAAGAACTGAGGTATCTTTCATTTACACATCTTGCCTTTACATGGATAGCATGAACTAAAATATTTTTCTCAGACAGAATGTCAGTGAAAACTTTTTCAGGAAGAGATAAGAAAAGCTAAAAACCTCTTTAAAATAAATTTAAAGAAAACTGAATGCAACACCTGGAATTAACTGATAATAGCACGTATGCTGTGCTTTTCAAACCCTACTTGCAGCTTTGACATTGTTTCCTCTGTTATACTAAAAAAAGTGTGAACTAGGGTTTCTTTCATGGATGTGATGTCTACTGGGGAAAAGTGGAGTTGTAAAAATAGACCATGTATTAAGCTGATGTGTAGAAAATGTTTGAAGAAGAGAGTCCATTACAGCAAGCAAACTCGTACAGTAGTGGTAATTTTCTTACGCTTTCTTTCATCCCTGTGTGAATCAGGAATGGTTTCATTGGCATCAATGGAATTGAAGCACAAAAAAAAATAAAATAAAATGATGCTGGTGGGACATGACAATCAGACAGTATGCAGTGTACAGCAGTGGAAGATTCTGACAGTACTTCCAGTATGCCTGCTTCTAAGCATACTGTAGCATCATGAGTTTCTCTCTGGGATTACCCTTGCCAGTAGTTGCTCCAACTAAAGCAATTCTTGAAGAATTTCTCTGCAGAGCAAATTGAGCAGCTGCTGATGAAAGAATTGGCTGTAACAATATATGAAAGAGTATTCTGTGTATGTGAAATGATTTTTAGTGGCCAGCATTGCTGCCTATTGGAGTTCTTATTTCATGAAAACTCCTGGACAATTATTAGTATTAGTACTGAAGGTTTTATCCTTAGTTACAAGTTTATACTAGCTCTTAGTTTTATGGGATTCATACAACTGAGTCTGCTTACTGGCTGCAAGAAGTTAATGGCAAAATTGAACTATATGCTCAATGGAAAATCTATTTATTGGTTACTTCACCTGAGTTTAGACCAAAAATTACATATGTTTTTATTTGAGTGATTCCGGTTACTTAAGCTTTCTACTGCTGCATTACTATTTTCTATTGCTTGTTTTTGCTTTTCCCAATAAGAACACGGCACAAAAGTCACAGAAAGCCTCAGAAAGAAAAAAAAAAAGAAAAAAAAAAAGTTGCTCTGTCTTTGGAATCTGCAATCTTTCTGTTTTAATAGTTAATGTATTAGAAGCAGGGGAAGAACATTTTTCTGCTTTACTTCAAAAAAATGTGAAAGCACATAAATGGAGGAATAAAAAGGGAAAATGAGGACATGAGTGACAACTGAAACAGAACTCCAGGGCTGGGAATTAGTCCAAAATAGATGGAAGAACTCAAGAGGCACTGGGAGATAAGGCATAGAGGAGGCACCAATTTTCAGAGGAGAACTGGGAAGCAAAGGAGAAAATGAAATGAGCCCATTCAAAAAGAGGAATAAGCCTAAGAAGTACCCTCAAGTGATCCAGTTGTAGGAGAGCTGTCAATAGAAATTTTGTTTAATGGGAAATAGTTCCTAATTAGCTACCAAAACTGTGAGCTGCTCAGAAAGAAAAGTTTTCTGTGATGCTGGCAGCCAGATCATATGGGCCAGAGCCTTGGCTAAAAGGCAATGAAGCCACTGGAGCATTGCCATGTTACATCAGCTGAGGACCTAGCCTTAGGTGCATGCTCTTTGACACTAGCCAGAGTGCCTTGGCAACTTGCAATAGCAATGCAGTTGCTAGTAAGAGGTGTGTGCTGAAACACTGTCAACACAGAGATAATGAGGATTTGGAGCATCTGGCAATTATTTTCACCGCTGGGGGCTTGCTGTAGTTGATAGTTTTACTAGGCTGAATATCTGTCAGTTTTCTTCTATATTCTAGGGACCTGTGTAAAATAGATGGAATCAGAGATGTGCAATCTGTGAATGTAGGAAAACTTTTTACATTTTATTAGACCAATTTAATCTACAGCTCTGGAGTAGGAAGGTAAAGGATTTTGCACACTCCAGCAATCACTGTTGTAGTGTTGATCAGCAGTGTACTTTACTGTAGGACAGTTTGTACAGCCGATAGTGTAGATTTGAGCTTCATCTGCACATGTCTTACAGTACTGTGATTCATCAACAGGTTAATGAGAGGCAGGAGACAAAATTCTCAAGGAAAGCTTCAGTGGACCACAAAGTCACAACATTCCATTCCCCAGCTTCATATTTTCAACTCAATTCTCTCAGACTGGCAATGTGATAATTATTGGAGTAGAAGTGTCTGTATGTGTGCGTGGAGGATGCAAGGATGCAAGTGAGTGTGTAGCTTTCACTGATCCCCTGTTACACCAGTTTCACAGCAGACCTCAATTAACATGGCTCCATTTTGCAGAAGTGTTCATGTGGGAAGAATCAGGCCTTACGAGTTAGCTCTTGTAATTCTCTTTCTGCTACTCAGTGAATTACTTCTTTACAGATACTGTAATAAGAAAATAATGATGGACTGCACAATGAAATGGAAAGGGAAGTGCTTATGGTTTATAGCAAGATTTAATAGCATTTACTAATTGTGTTAAATAGCTATTCCTATCAGCAGCAAATAGCCGTATCAGTGAAGGACACCATGTTGGTTCGTGGCCAGCAAAACCCTGACTGGTAGTGAACAAGCAATCCAGGAGCACACAGTTATTGCTGAAATATAACTTGATTAGGACCCAAATAGGCAGTTGTGATGATTTCAGATACAAATGAATCTATACTTAATTCATTAAAATGCCATTTTGAACCTTGATATTGCTTCACTAAGGGTATCCAGCAGTTTATTCCCACCTGATCCATGACTGGTATAGGCTCAATTGAACACTAATACATTTTCTCCCATGGCAGTGTGGTGCTAATTCATTTCATGTATAATTGAACAATTTTTAAATAGCCATATTCTTGGAATAACTAGACCTTTTACAGTGTAGCAAATTATTATAAAGCATGTAGTAGTAATTTTAATTAGTCCTAGTTCACATTTTTTGTTTTGGTTATATCCGGTTCCATGAACAGTTACATACAAATATGATCTGTGAAATTAACTTTCATTTCCCTACTGATCCTTTCCCTACACAAAACTGGTATGACTTCTGGCAAGAAAGCATAGACATCTTCTACAGACAACCAAAGATAATATCTTTTCCCCTACAATGTCTTGTTCAGATTTGGGCAGCTCACCTATATAAAGAGATTACAGGCCAGAGAGAATTTAAAGGAGAAGCAAGAAGGATTATGAAAGGCCTGAGAGTTGCTTACCTGGAAGAAACTGTAACAGAAATAAAGCTTAAGAGCTTGCAAGGGGAAGATTTCTGAGAGAGGAGATTACAATTGCCCTGTAGTATTTCAAGGGTATAAATAGACACAGGAGGAAAAAGCTGCTTCTTACGAGACAAAGTGGAAGAATCATTTCTTATCCTTAAATAATAGGACAGTAGGATATAAACTTGAATGCATGTTAACAGTGTTATCTGGGAGTCAATGGAATAAATTCCCAGAATTCTCAAGTGAATACTTCAATGGCAGAATGAACCTGCTTGCACATGGTGGGCAGTTATACAAATAATAGACATTAAAGAATTTTGAGTCTGTCCTCCTGCTTGTAGGAGTCCAAAAACTAGCAGTTGGCTGTTACATGTGCATGACATCTAGAAATTTTCAGTGATTTCTTTCTCAAGACTTGTGCCCTACTGACATGAGATATCTAGATCATTTCTGTACTAGGTGATTTAACTCAACTGTTGTGTTTTTTTTTTTTTTGTTTGTTTGTTTTTTTTTCCCCCCCCCCAGTTGTTTAGTTATACTTTTATTAAGGTCTCTCTCTTTGACACTCTTGATCAAGTTCTCACAGCACTTAATCCAAAACAGGGTAAGTCAATGGAAGTCTTTCTACTGGGCTTTGACTTAAACCAGGAGATTAGAAAACATGCTTATATCTAATTAGATGAGATAATCCTCAAATCCTTGCTAGGGGATATTGTAGACAGTAGTTCATGTTCAGTATTTTATGACTAATGGCTTACTTTTTGAGTGAGGTTGAGTGTAGATAAGTGTTGCCTAGTGATGAGATTGTTTGGGATTGCAAGGAATGAGTCCCACAGAGTGAATGGGTAAATATGAAGACTGGAAATGTAGTCATCTGATGACTTGTTGCAAATGAGCCTGCAACCATAAATTTGGAACTCAAGCAGGTTATACAGGAACTTACCACATAAATTGGGATTTATGACACTGAAGTGGCACAAGCAGGACTATGTGATTTTCCTCTTTAAAGTCAGAAATACATATAAATGGTATTTGTGACCTTAACTTACAAAATAAATAAAATGCCACTTGCATTCTCTAGGCAAATAGTTGAATAGTGTTTCTTCAGACTGTTTTTTTTTGTTTTTGTTTTTGTTTTTTTTTTTTTATTTCTCCATTATAAAGCTTAACTGAACCCCCTCAGTGGAGTGGCAGGCCTTAGAAGCTTTCAGAAAAATAATATAATGGCAAATGCTGAATACATTAACCAGTTTGTCAGATTGCTTCAGAAGCATTGGAACAGCATTGCACTCAAGTTTTTGTTTTTTTTTTTTTTCCCCCCCCATACAAACTTATACTGATGTTCTTATTTTTGTAACATGTTTTAGAGGAAAGCATTGACAACAATCCCCTCACTGCCCTTCAGATACCAACCAGCTTCTACTGGATGATCAAAGTTTTCTGGATAGTGGTTGCCTCTGGGCCTGTACACAGTGAACAGATGTGAAGTGAGTTTTTTAAAATATGCATTGACTTTTCAGAGTTAAGCAGGCTGGTTAGTTCTAACTTCTGAAATATTAAAATTACTTCCCTCTCCTGCTGCAGAATCAAACTTGTTAGATTATTTTAATTTTTAATTTTTTGTTTGTTTGTACAGGCTATCAAACATGTTTTCCAGCAATATGTGATGAGATTTGCTAGAATTAATTTCAGACAGCAGGTTTAACTATTTGAGATGCATTTTGTCTCATCCCATTTCATACCACCAACAAAACAACTACCTGCTGTATTTATAATCATGGATTATTTCTAAGGAGACTGGGGATACTGAATGGTTTCTCTCCCTATTCCTTAGTTTGTTCTGTCGTGCAGAAAAAGAGCTTTTCTCATTTTGCAAATCAGTGATAAAATGTATACCGGTACTGGCAAAAATATCAGCTTTTCTGCCTCTCTTTGGTTTCTTGCTCTGCAGATCAGAGAGCTGGGCTAGTAGGACCATGTCAGTGGCTGTTTTGGATGTCGTTACAATCTGGGACCTATAGAGACACAGACTCCAATCTCTGTAATCAGAACAAAAGGAGAAATTGGGAGCTGTTGGAGATACAAAGGGATTCCAGGGCTCAGGAGAGAAAGTATGATGTATTCTATTCTCTGCAGCAGCAGGGGCTCTCCCTGATTGAGACTGTCCCACAGCCTGCACCACAGGCATATGTCACAGCTTACAGTGCTCCCAGGTATCCCACCTGCCTAAAGCAGCAGCAGTACCAGAGGACAGGGATCTCTCACAGCTCCTTGTGCTGAGGGCAGTTCAGGCTGCAGTCGGCTCCTGTGCTTGGACAGCAAACAAGGACCACCACTTACAGCCGAAGCTACTAAAAGCACCTGATCATTTCTCTACCTGGGACCTCTAGCTACCAGAATAGTCTTTTAAGGACAAAACACAGTTTTCATGTCTGCCTCCAGATATAAACACAGTAGAAGAATCTTTTCTGTTCCTAGACCACATTTTCTCTCTATCACAAACAAGGATTTTCATGGCTCCTTGCGATATGCTTTGACATTATACACCTGCACAAGAGGAATTAGATGCAGTGTCCAGGTCTGCTACCTAGGTAGTGTTACTACATGGGAAAAAACATGTTTTCTAAGGTATGGTGTTACAGAAATAACTGTACTTCTGCAGAAAGACAGTATGCTAGAAGCTCTTTGTATTTGCTCAGACCACACCAATATGCATCTCCTGAGTCCTGCTCACTCTCATGTGTGGGCATTTCTGGAGCAGTGGAAGATGGCTATTCCTGTGCCAAAGGGAACCCAGGGCAACTGTGCTATAGTTGCCACACACAGAATACCTTTACATAGTATTTATTTTATTTATAGCATGTATTTTTCACTCAGGTGAAAGAGGGGCTGGTGGAGTACCAAAGCTGAACGGGATTTGACTCCGAAAATGCATGCCTGTGAAAGAGAGCCAGGCAATGGTGTTTTTTTGCTCCAGTGAGATTTGTGAAACGCTGCCCTGTTTTTTTTAACCAAGAGTTGAGGTTGCTTACTGTGTGTTGCATTGCCTCCTACGCTACTAACCCTAACCAGGTCAGGACCAAATAACTGCACGTATACACCAATACAATGAACAGCAAAATGACGTTTATTACACATGAACTCTAGCTTATATACCTTACGTGCCTCATCTACGCCCCTAAGGGCACATGTCACACATCAATCATAGAGCAGGGAGAGGGCCTATCACATAACATCCCATGGGGGGGTCCCGCATTTGCCTACAACATCTCCCCCTCTCCAAGCTCAATAAAGTCTACCCATACATCGCGATCCGCAAAATAATCCTACCCTAACAACTTAAGCTTCCTTACCAAGTTCCTTCCTTGGTAAGCCAAAGCGAGATTCATTCCCATTGGAGCAGGTGATAGGTCTTTAATCAGCATGTAATTAGCCTGCAATAACTGATGTGATGTCACCAACACTTAATAATTAAAGCCACATCCTACGATACTGGTAAAGTTATAGACAGATTAGAGATTAGAGATTACTGATTAGAGTGATTACTGATAGCTCTAGTGGCACTATCTGTGAGTATGAAACTACAAAGGAATTACAAAGGATCCTTATACAAACACATCCTTTCCCAATATATACCAACATTGTCTCAGGTACCTGTTGGAGCGTACCTCAAAAATGACAAACGTTTTAATCAATATCAAGGCAGATGTCTTGAGCTTTGAGAGCATTACTCTCACAAACAAATCCTTGTTGCTTGTTCTCCAGGCCTCAATCTGGCCACCTGTCCCTGAAGGGAACCCATTCTAATGCCCACAATGTATACTGCACTGGCTTAAGCGCCACGCACATCAGATTTGTTACATCATGAGGAAAGAGAAGACCTGATGCTGTCAGGGCTTCTAATGCATTTAAAGTGAGGAGCGATTTCAACCCGTTTCTCTGCACAATCTGTCAGGCATGTGATGTCTTTCAGATCGAGGGGTACCCTCACAACCGGGTTCCTCACACAGGACATCATTTGTTGCATTGCCTCCTATGCTACTAACCCTAACCAGGTCAGGACCAAATAACTGCACATATACACCAATACGATGAACAGCAAAATGGCGTTTATTACACGTGAACTCTAGCTTATATACCTTACGTGCCTCATCTACGCCCCAAAGGGCACGTGCCACACATCAATCATAGAGCTGGGAGAGGGCCTATCACATAACATCCTGTGAGGGGGTCCCGCATTTGCCTACAACTGTGGAGTGTGTTTTACATACAAAGCGAAGATGTGCTTTGGTAACCCTTAAGATTTTTTCATCATACAGAATATAAAATGATAAGCTATCAGCTTAACAGGCTTTTCTTTTTTCTTGTTGGCTGACTGTTGCCATTTTAGATGCCTAAATGCTGTGTAGCAACATTTGATGGTCTTAAGATACATGTGGTTGCAGTCCTTTATGAGTTCCTTCACCCAATATTATTTCTGTGTGCATCAGAATGTCCTAATGTCCTAAACATGAGTTCTACATAAAGCTATATATTGCATTCTTAGGTGATTCAAGCAGGTTACACACAACTAGTCCTCAGTGGCTGTTTGTAGGTGCTATGTCAGGTCCTCTAACATTCCTTTCAGCATAGCAAGCCCCATAGCATTGAAGGTGCTGCCTGGGGAAAGGCTGTTGCTTCTGTGGCTCTGAATGTGATGCTTTGGATCCTGGATACACTACCAGGGACTGTCACTTGTGTTCCCAGTAGGGTCACAACTTGTCCAGTTAGGGCCACGATGCTTCTGCAACACAGCAGAACTTCCTTAGCCTCTTGACTGGTAACAAACACACTTGCTAGGCATACTGTAAAAAATTGAAATGGATTTTTTTCATCTTCCCAAGAAAATTCATACTTCAGCTCATACTATCTACCAAATGTCTTTTTTTCTTAAAGCAAAAATAAAATGAAGACAAATTATAAGCACGACACTGTGTTTCTCTGACAATGCTTGCTACTGGAAACAGATATCACAATAAGGCTTTCTTTACAAACTGGCTCTTTTGATTAAAGAGGCTACATTGTTTGATAAGTAAGATTTTGAATTTTCTTTTATGATGTTATTATCTCACACCCATCTAAAACATAGTATAAGCCTTGAAAATATATTTTTAATTCCACTGTCCATGTTCTGTCCATTAGTGTTGCTCTTATGTAAAGTGATACCTGATTGTTTTAGGAACCTCAGCTACACACTAATAACCATCTAGATGCCTAATCAGAGAGCCACTGTCCTGTTGCTAAATATATCCCTCCAGCTAAAGACCAGAGAACAGCAGGTAACTAAGAGAACAAAAAAACTGCACATCCTTTTGATGTTTGCTTGAGTGTTAGGAATGTTTCAGGCTGTGTCTGATGTTATAGTAAGGTAATCAATCTAACAGTAATGGCGTGGATATGTGAGAATCGTTCTGACTGGCAATTATACATCTCTTTTAAGCATTGAACAGTTTTTTTAATTATTATTTTTATATTATTTTCTATATTGAAGCCTGCTCTAAGTTCAGAGCATAAAACTTTTTGTCATAGTTTTATGTTCCTAACCGTACAGATATAAGAATCAGTAACTGCACATTTCATAATTATTACCAGTGTAGTTTTCTTTTACCTTAATGCATCTCCCAGAAATATAAAAATCAAAGTTCTTCATATTAAAATATAATTCTGTAATCTAATGAAGTCTGTATTCTTCTCTGCATATTATTTATGCCACTAACTGGAGTGTCAGATCAGTTAGTTCCCTTCACAATTTGGAAGTAGAGTTCTGTTCTGCCAGAAGCTAACTAGTAGTGTTACTTTTTAATTTTATTTTATTATTTACTTATCAATAAAATATTGTAAATATTACAATAAAAAGGGACTGAGTTTATGTCCTGTGCAGACATTATAGATGATATGCTGCAGATATCACATTTCATGGAATTTTGCAATACCTGACTGCAGGAATAAGTTCTCATCTTCTGTTATTCCTCTTGCCTATTGTGAGATATGTACAGTGCTTTTTTCTTCCAGCTCCTCTTTTTATAGTAAATGAATATCTGTCTGCCCTGTGATCTGATTACGTTCATATTGAGAAATTTCTCGCTGTATAGAGAACATTCTTTTCAGAAGTCTAGAAAAAAATAGGAAGAGAACTGGAAGTTTTCATTCCTCTTACTGTGCAGAATCCATTAAATGAAGCCTTGAGAAATGTTTTCTCTTTTAACCACAGTATGAAGAAAAGGTCTCTATTCAGGACCTAAAAGGATCACTTTTCAGGGAAAAGGTCTGGCTTCTTCCAGATCAACTATTATGCTCTTATAATCTTAAAGTCAGGCCTAGATGAGTGTTGTCAGCTTCAAAAACTTGCTTACTGGCTGTCAGCCATTACTGAAGCTATGAATTGCACAAGTAGATATCTGCAGTGGAAGACTCTGAATGGTTGAATTAGGCTTTTTTTCCAAATATGTTGTGCATTACTATGCATTTTGACCAACTCTATATTTAACTTGTTTAGAATCCTATAAACACTGTCACAATATTGGTGTTGTTGGGTGAATCTCATTCTCTTTAGAAAATAAACTCCAGCACAGCTAGAGTGGAATGAGATGCCTCTGAATGTAATCTTATGCTACTTCTCATTTTTGTCACTGCTCTCATCTGTTTATATTATTAGAAATAGAACATTTATATCCCATCATACCCTTAATTTACATAGACTTTAGAGAATATGGATCAGACACTTTTTCCTACCCACATCTTACCATCCTTAAACTTCTGCATTCATTAAAAGTGGTAAGAATTATGAATAAGCATGTCTTATTTCCTTCTTTATCTCAAATATATTTCAGAAGTAATTCTAATTTACCATATAGTTTTTAAATAATTCTGGAATATAACTCTAGAAAATAACAATGAAGGATCACTGTCACTGCTGCAGCATCTGTAATCCATAGTCGTCCAGAATCCAAGTTCTAGACCCAGTTTCTCAAATACTTTTATAACCTCAAGAAGTATTGGGAAAGAACGAAGCAGACAACCATGTTCCTGATTCAGAGCCATTCCAGGGGCCCAGTATCCCAATTAAAGCCTTCTGGAGGTTTAACTAGGAGCAGCAGATTCTCCAGCGTGTTTGTTGGGCCTCCCTCCCATCTGGAGTCTCTGTGGGACACAGTGCCACAAACTTATCTGACATGTTCCATCTGCTATCTGCACTCATATCCTTGGCAATCTCCTATGCTAGACTTGCATGAGCATAGCAATTGGACAGATCAATACAATGGGAA